CAACAGGTAATAATGAAGAACCTATCCTTACAGCCAATGAGACAGCACAAGTCCTAAAATATCAGTAAATCTAAATGCCCTTTAAAGACTTGTAATGGATAACAAACTGGCCTTAGATGACATCCTGGCTAAAGAGTATGGTTGCCAACAACTCCTACTGCGTTTGGATTAATATTACTGATCCAGTGGAACAATCTACACATTCTAGGGGAAGGAATCTCAGCAGTTTTCTTTAATAAGACCTATCAGTACTCTCTGGGACTTATTCACTTGGCCACATCTGGGGTCCTGAAGTAGATCGCTGAGATCAACACTCCACAATAACCTCATCCTGCTAATGGGATTCTGCAGGTGGCCCTAGTAAAGTATCGAATGAGACAAATGAATGGATTTCAGTGAATTTCGCTGCATCTAATTTTGAAGGTTGATTATTGTGAGGTAGTCTGTAATGAACCAAGCATCCTTGTATGTCCTTGATGAGTGCAATAAGCTGAATCTTTATGTGCTCCCAAAATTCATATGTTAAAACCTAGTCCCCAATGTGATAGTATTTGGAGATGGGACCTTTGGGAGATGATTAGGTCACAAGGGCACAGCCCTCTTGAATGGGACCTGTGCCCTTATAAGAGAGGCCTCAGAGAACTCCCACTCCCCATTCTCCATGTGAAGTTCCAGCCAAAAGGCAGCTAGCTGCCTATGAACCAAGAAGCAGGCCCTCACCAGAAACCAAATGTGCTGACACCTTGATCTTGTACTTCCCAACCTCCAGAACTGTAAGAGATCAACTTCTGTTGTTTATAAGCCACCCAGTCTACGGTATTTTGTTATAGGAGCCTGAGCAAACTAAGAAAACTGGTCCGAAGTAGTGAGGGTGCTGCTGTAACAAACATCTAAAATTGTGGAAGCAGCTTTATAATTGGGTAATAGGTAGAGGCTGGAAGAGTTTTGAGGTACATGCCAGAGAAAGCCTACATTGCCATGAACAGACCTTTAAAGGTGATTCTAGTGGGGACTCAGGAGAGTAGAACTGTAGAGAAAAACTTAGTTTTTTTAATGAATACCTACATAGTCCTGAACAGAACGTTGGCAGGTATGTGGACAGTAAAGACCATTCTGATGAGATCTCAGATGGAAATGAGAAACATGTTATTGAACAATGGAGGAACAACTATCCTTGTTATAAAGTAGCAAAAAACTAGGCTGAACTATGTTTGTGTCCTAGGGTTTTGTGGAAGGTAGAACAGCCAAGCAATGAAATGGGCTCTTTGGCTGAGGAACTATCCAAGCAAAATGTTGAAGGAGGGGCCTGGTTTCTCTCAATTGCTTATATTAAAATGCAAGAAGAGTGAAATGATTTAAAGATGGAATCGTTTACCAGAAAGGAAGGAGAACTTAAAGATTTGGAAAATTCTCAGCCTACCCATATTGAAAAGAAGGAGAAAGCCTGTTTGGTAAAGAACATTAAGAGTGTGGTCAGCAACCATTTGATAAGGAGGTTAGTATGGGCCAGCCATCTCAACAGAGGCTAGGAGGTATTCTCCAAGACAGTAGAAGAATGACCCCCAAGGCAATTCAGAAATCATCAGGGCTGTCCTTCTCATCACAGACCTAGAGCTCAAGAGCCCTGGGGGCAGGAAGGTTTCAAAGAAAGTGACTACGGGACTTTGCCCTGACTCACTTTGCAGCCTCTGCTCCCACACTACAACACAACCTTCAATTGCCCCAGATGCAGTTCCAGCAAGCCCCGGTGTGGCACTCAGTAGAGCCATAGGGGCATGGCTGACTCTACCAAAATTTCAAAGCATAGGGCCTCCTGGAAGAGCCATGGGCTCAGGAACCCAGCTCTGTAGAGCCATGGGGCCCAGGTAGGGAGTGCAGACACAAAGCCACCACAGGGGAGGAATCACACAAAACTAGGGGGGTAAGGGCTACCAGAAGTCATGGGAGCCCAACCCCTGCCCAGCAAAGCTTCGATGGCAGAACCACTGCTCCACTGGGTCTGGAAGGTGAGACCTCTGTCCCAGTGGGTCAGGAAGGTGAGACCCCCACTCCAGTGTGTCCAGAAAGCATGTTCTCTATCCCAGTGGACCTGGAGGGCAGAGCATTAAGATTATTCTCAAGCCTTAAGGAATTCTAATGGAATTTGACCCATTGGAATTTGAGCCTATAAATCTAATGGAATTTGACCTGTTGGGTTTTGAACTTGCTTGGGACCTGTCCCTCCTTTCTTCTTTCCTAATTCTCCTTTTTGGAATGAAAATATGTATCCTATACCTGTCATGTTATATTTTGAAAGCACATAACTTATTGGGTTTCACAAGTTCGCAGATGGAGGTAATTTGCCAGAAAATGAATCACACCTTGAGTCTCACCCATATCTGATTTAAATGATATTTAGATGAAATGTTGGACTTTGGACTTTTGAGTTGATGCTGGAACAAGTTAAGATTTTGGAGGCTATTGGGATGAAATGAATATATTTGGCATATGAGGACATAATCTTGGGGGGGCCAGGGGAGGAATATATAATTTATCTTGCTCTAATCCACTGAGTCTTAATGTATACTTTTACCACCTGTGTTCTATGAGGTTGAGGTATGTAAACCGCATAAGCTTCGTAAAATTAATTCAGAATCTTTACTCCCAAACTAAAATGCTGTAAAGACAAAATCCCTAACACAGGTGTGCCACTCTTTTAGGCATTAACCATTATCAAGGCAACTGCTCAGTTAGACTTCCTATACATCCATCATTGCGGATGACTGCCGGGTGTAAATACCTGAGTTTTAGATCAACGGGATCCAATATTTTCAGAAGTTATAACTAGTTTTTAAGATGACATGTGAAAACTTAAAAAAAGATATGGTATGACAATTTGTAGGCCACATATTTATTTTACATGACAATATTCCCATAAAAGTATGATAACTCTTTGATTCAGTAGTTTGCCTCTAGATAATTTGGCAAATAACTGAAAAAAAGGGGGGGGGCAATATATAGTGGAAGTGCTCTTAACTGACTTCCACTTAAGTGATTTGCTGAATTAAGTGACCCACTAGAGTTTTTCATATACTGAACACGCCTACAGAAAACTGAGCACAGGGAGCTAGTAGACTACTCTGTAGCATGCTTGTGTAAGTAGTATGCTTACTAAGAATCAAGTTATTTTTCCCCTAACCTCCTTATGAAAGTTATATTTGTCATTAAATTAGTGTAATTTATTTAAAAACATGTACATCATTGAAATATGACTGTGCAGAGAACTGATGTTTCTATGAAAGTTAAATTAAATGCTTCAGCAAATTGCTTTAAAAACACCGTTATTAAGTTTGGCATGAGAGAAACAACTGTAATAGACTGGAGTAAATCATCAAAATCCAGATGATTCTTCAGTCAGATTCTTTTGTAAGTGTCTTTATGTTCTTATTCCACTTTAAATAAATGCTAGAAAGATGTCACGGAATTCCAATCCACAGACCCATATATTCACAGAAAAAGCCTTGGTCCTATATCAAATTATTAAATAAATATACACTTATTAACACTTTAAATTAAAATAAAATTTCTTATAATCTCTTTACTTATGATTCTCTCTTAAATTGACTTTTTCCATGAAAGCTCTATTACAAGCCCAAGTGGTCCAGGTGAGAAGGCTTTTACGGTAAACCAAAAATCTTACAGCAGTGCTCTTGATTTTTAAAAAACTGGAAATCATTTAGACATACAATAATGAAGGAGATGAATAGAAACTATAAACAAGTTTTAAAATAAAATTTATTAAAAAATAAAAATCACAAATAACTGATTACAACTATGTAAAAACTGTGTATACTGATAAAGATCAGAAGTCAACAGAAAGCAAAATAGTTGCTGTGTGAGTTTGGTGAGATTATAAATTAAATATTTGGTATCATGTTTTCTTTTACAAGTTTTTAGTCATTCAATGTAATTTTGTTTAAATAGCAACCTACCTTAGGGTATTTATAGTAGCACTGCTAGAACATCTGTCATCCACCCTACTGGATTCCATCATTTCTGAATCCTCAACACTACCCCTTCTTAAGCTAGAATGGCAGCAGATAAGTAAGAAATACCTCCACAGCTACAGTAGAAATTTATAGATAAGAATATTAAGAAGATCACGTTACATCTTAATGAAAAAGACTAATTCAGACTCCAGTAACTGTTTTAAGCTTAGTTTGGCAAATTATTTAAAGAATATGAGAGTACTTCAAAAAGTTCGTGGAAGGGGCCGGCCCGGTGGCGCACTGCGCTAGTGCGCCGCTTGGGAAGCGCGGCGGCGCTCCCATCGAGGGTTCGGATCCCACATTACAGACCGGTTCCCGCTCACTGGCTGAGCGAGGCGCGGGGGCAACACCGAGGGTTGTGATCCCGTTGCCGGTCCCGGTCCGGTACGGGGGCGACACTGAGGGTTGCGAACCGTTGCCGGACACGGAAAAAGACAAAAAAAAAAAAAAAAAAAAAAAGTTCGTGGAAAAATGGAATTAAAAGATAATATGAATCTTCCTGTGAACTTTCTGAAAACCCTCTCACATATACAACTTCACAATACAAAGAATTATGCTAAAAACTCTCTATCAGATATATGAATTTATTGTATAAATCTAATATCCCTGAAATAGTCAATTAAAAAACGTTATTATAAAATTTAAAAATAATTATGTAATTATAATCATGTCATATTAAGTGTGAAATCTCTAAAGACAGATGGATTTCTATAAATTTACACATACATAGTACACTTTTACCTGTATCAATGGCAATCATTTAAAATATTATGCTCTCAAAAAGCATCAAAAGTAGCTGCTTCTGAGAATGGGCCAAGGGGTGAGAAGAGAGAGGGTAAGGGGCTATTCTTTATAAGCTTATTAATATCTTTTGATCTTATAACCATACACATGAATAACTTAGATACATATACGTTTAAATATGAAGTCCTTATTACAACTTAATATAGCCACATAAACCGAAGATAATACCTTGGAGGGAAGAAAGAGGCTGCTCTTGCAGCTTCTCCTGAGAGAGCAGTCCCAAGTAGCTGAGAACAACATACTTTGTTTCATAGTGAAATCCTAGAGGCACAGTAGTAGAGGACGCCATTGAATGGGCTGGCACAGCTCCAAAGAGGCCTACTTACAGATGTGTGAAACCTAAAAACATAAAAGTATTTTTTTCAGTTTAAAGTATACTACATACCAGTACATTTTTCAACTGACTCCAATTATTCAAGTAAATACCAAAATAAATGCTTCTAAGACTTTTTTTCCCCCCAGCAATCTTAAAAAATGTAACTTTAATTTACTTACAAATGGAACTCAGTGCAAAAAAACATTAGGAACATGCCCTCCAACCCCCACTTCAGTACATGTTCTATTATTTCTTTTAGTAATAAAGCCACCTAAATTTTTAGTTAGGCCCATGGGTACACAGCTGCAGACTACATGTCCCAGTCCTCTTTGCAACTTCATGTGCTCTATACCATTAGTCTGAGCCAGAGGAATAAGTACAAGTTATACGTGCAATTTGTGGGTCTCTCCTGAAAGACTGGCTTTTCTCCTTTCTATGGTTTGGAATATTAATATGCCTGTGACGTAACCTTGACATTCAAACAAGGATACGACCCTACGGGATGGTAAAGCAACAAGTTGGACTGACCAGCCTGGACCACTCACTCCTAGACTTGGTTTAAGCCACTCGCATCTAAACCTCTTCGTTAGGCATCCTAACTTGTACCCTGATCTATACAACCACAACTCTCACCTTCGCACATAGACCTGGCAGCTGTTTTATCTACCACATCATAGTTGTTTCACACCAAAATGTCTCATGCCACTCTTAAGAGATTTCCAAATAACTTTGTTTTCTTTTTAAAACAACAAACAATATGGACTGCTTTAAGATCTCAACAAATATCCAGGAAAAAAAGAGAGGTTCAGATAACAATGGAAAAAAGAGACAGGCAATGCTGGCAAAATTTAACATTTGTGATAAGCAAACTAAGAGAAATGTCCTACAATAATGGAATAATAATTTTTAAAAATGCATGCAGAATTTGAAATACACAAAATAAGAGTGGCCATATAAAGAGAGAAAAAGAGAGATAACATGAAAATCTACTTAGAATAGTTAAATACTGTCTTTTTAAGAAATACATAACACCAAGGGGCTGGCCAGTTAGCTCAGCTGGTTAGAGCACCACCTTGTAACACCAAGGTTAAGGGTTCAGATCGCCATGCTGGCCAGCTGCCAAAAAGAACCCGAAAAGAAATGTATTCATGGTTACTACTAATATCACTGGTTTTTTTTTTTTTTTTTTTTTTGCGCAGATTTAAATTCTCTATTTAATTCTGAAAGTTAATTTCTTATTTTCTCTCGTTTTTTTAAAAATTTATTTTATTTATTGAATCAAAATTGAGTATACAGGGCCAGCCCGGTGGCGCACTGCTGCAGTGCGCCACTTGGGAAGCGCGGTGGCGCTCCCGCCGAGGGTTCGGATCCCACATACAGACTGGCCGCTCACTGGCTGAGCGAGGTGCGGGAGCAACACCGAGGGTTGCGATCCTGTGGCCGGTCCCGGTCCGGTACGGGCGCGACACTGAGGGTTGCGATCCGTTGCCGGGCACGAAAAAAGACAAAAAGGAAAAAAAAAAAAATTGAGCATACATATTTTGGGGGGTGAACATTGAGATATGTTGATCAAATCAATATTACTAGCATATATATTGTTACAAATCATAATTATTCTTTATGCCCCTTGTCCAATATCTCCCATTCCCCCATTCCCTCCCCCTCCCCCCTCTAATTACCCTAGATTTCTTCTCTCCTTCTGAAAGAATAATGGTTACTCTGTTAACTTGTTGCCTAGATGATCTGTCCAATGCTGAGAGATGTAATCAAGTCCCCCAATGTTATCATAGAGAAGACGCTTCTTCTGTCACTCTGAAATGGGCTTTATGGAAAGAGACATCCTCTTTTCTTTTTCTCTGCTGGTGACCCTTCTTGTGTGAATGCACTCCAGTGGTTGGCGGACCATCTGCGTGGTGGTTGTGGCATCTAACCACTTTTGCAGTAGCCATGGTTATTGTGGTGGCTGTGGTGCGCCACCCACATGGGGGTGCTGTTTTTGGCATGCTCCTTGGCACTGGCGGTATGCCTGGTTGTGGGGTGTGTCTGGTCCCCTTATCCATGCCTCTGGTCCCTGGGCAGGCCCCAAGATGCTGGTGCCATGTGCCTGGTTGTGGGAGGGGTGTCTGGTCTCCTTCTCCATACCTTGGGTCACTGGGCAGGATCCAAAGCACTGGCTTGGTGTGCCTGGTTGTGGGAGAGAGGTCCAGTCCCCTTCTCCATGCCTTGGGTCCCTGGGCGGGTCCCGAGGCACTGGCACAGTGTAATATCACCATTTTCTTTCTTTCTTTCTTTTTTTGGTGGTTGACCGATACTGGAACCAAACCCTGGACCTTGGTATTACTGTGTTACTGGCACCACATGCTAACCAACTGAGCTAACACGTCAGCCCCAATATCCAACATTTAAAAGTCCCTATTGCTTCTACCTTCAGGGAACAATGCTACTAAACTATATCAAAATATCCAATAAACCAAACAACAGGCCTACCTTATTCAACTTTAAAAGCTCCCATAGAGGAGATCCAATCAAGATGGTGGAATAGACGGTCCCCAGCATCACTCTCTCCCACAAATCAACCAAATTTATAACTATAAAAATGTAACATCAGCCAAACCAGAGCTGCTGGAGCTCAGGGAAAGAGGAGGAAAGACCTATGGAGTTCATGAAGATGGGAGAAACCACAATGAGAGAAAGAAAAACTGCTCTGAGCGTTTCGGGCCGCGGCTGCTTTAAGGCTTGAGCTGCCGTGCGCATGGAGCAGGAGCCAGCAGAAGCCATAGCTGTGCCCTTCAGATGGAGTTACTTGGAGGTGGCAGGGGAGAAGAGGGCCTTGGTGGCCCCCAGGACAGCAAGACAACTAACGGGGTTCCCATGGACCCACGCAGGAGCGAGGAGCCAGAACAACTGAAAAAGGGGAGCTATTCAGAGGCTGGTGAGTCATCACAAGGGACCAGCACAGAGCCCATCCCATGAGAAGTGTTTGGAGCACAGGTAATGGGGGAGACGTGCCCACCAGGGGAACACTGGGACACAGCAAGACAGCCGATCTGCCCCCCAATCAGCACAGGACCACTCAGAGGAGACTGGTCAGGAATGCAGAACTGCATGGGGTGCGGTTTGATGAAAAAACTCAGGCCCAGATCAGAGACTCTACAGAACACAGATCCACCAGGTCTCTGGAGAGCCGGAAGTACCTATAAGGTCAACCATTAAACCCTGAGCTGCACAAAATGCCTTCCTTAGGGAAACAGCAGCAAAGTAGCAATTTAAACAACCACACAGCTTAAGTACTGGTTCCCACAGGAAGTTCCCCCATGTTAGAAGCAAAGGACAAAAAATTAGTTCTGGCCCAGGCACACCACCAGCACCTTGGGGCCTGCCTGGGAACTGGAGGCTTGGATCTGGGGACTGGACCCCACTCCCACTTCCAGGCAAACTGCACCAGTACCTTGGGGTCAGCCTGGGGACCTGAAGCATGGAGAAGGGGAGTGGACCCCCCTCCCACAACCAGGCACACCACACCAGCACCTTGGGGCCTTCCCAGGGACCTGAGGCAAGGAGAAGGGGACTGGACATCTCTCCCACGACCAGGCACACTGAGCCAGCACTTTGGGGCCCACCCAGGGACCCAAGGTATGGAGTCGGGGACTGGACCTCTCTCCCACAACCAGGCACAACATGCCAGCAACTCGGAGCCCACCCAGGGACCTGGGGCAAGGAGAAGGGGAATGGTCCTCTCTCCCACAACCAGGCACACTGCGCCAGTACCTCGGGGCCTGCTCTGGGACCCGGGACATGGAGAAGCGGACTGGACCCCTCTCCCACAACCAGGTACATGGTGCCAGAGCCTTGGGGCCTGCCCAGGGACCAGAGGCATGGAGAAGGGGACCAGACACACCCCACAACCAGGCATACCGCCAGTGCCAAGGAGCATGCCAAAAACAGCCCCTCCATGTGGGTGGCCCACCACAGCCACCACAATAACCATGGCTACTGCAAAAGTGGTTAGATGCCACAACCACCACGCAGATGGTCCGCCAACCACTGGAGTGCATTCACACAAGAAGGGTCACCAGCAGAGAAAAAGAAAAGAAGGGTCACCAGCAGAGAAAAAGAAAACAAGAGGATGTCTCTTTCCATAAAGCCCATTTCAGAGTGACAGAAGAAGCGTCTGCTCTATGATAATATTGGGGGACTTGATCACATCTCTCAGCATTGGACAGATCATCTAGGCAACAAGTTAACAGAGCAGCCATTATTCTTTCAGAAGGAGAGAAGAAATCTAGGGTAATTAGAGGGGGCAGGGGGAGGGAATGGGGGAAGGGGAGGGATTGGACAAGGGGCATAAAGAATAATTATGATTTGTAACAATATATATGCTAGTAATATTGATTTGATCAACATATCTCAATGTTCAACCCCCAAAATATGTATAATCGATTTTGATTCAATAAATAAAATAAATTTTTAAAAAAAAAAGCTCCCATAAACTTCAGAAGGGTATTTCAAAATTATTGATACATATTCCGAAGAAAGGGGAAAAATGTTACAGCTTACTTAACAGGAATGAAAGACAAACCCACTGCATTCTTTCAGGGTGTATTACTCTTGAAGAGCTCAAAACATTTGATCATACTTTTACACTGTTACCATTTAAGAGTGGGAAGACAGTGTTCCAAATTTACTTATATGGGAAACTCATAGAGGTAAAATAAGTTTTCTGAGGTCCATCAGTCAAGTATGGACAAACAGCAGCACTGTAGTAGACATCTGCCTTTTTATTTTATTTATACAATATTTTTGCCTGCCTGCCATCTGTACCCAATTTCCTATCTATGGAGCACCACACACTGTGTAAACCTTGGTTAGAAACAGAAATCAGGGGGGCTGGCCCGGTGGCGCACTGGATAGTGCGCCGCTTGGGAAGCGCGGCGGCGCTCCTGCCCGAGGGTTCGGATCCCACATGCAGACCGGTTCCCGCTCACTGGCTGAGCGAGGCGCAGGAGCGACACCGAGGGTTGCG